CCTGAGTTTTTCCCTTGATTGCAGGACTTTAGCAGAGAGGTAGGTGCCCAGATTTTTTCTGAGATGTAAAACAATATATTCTTTTCCAGAAAAAATAGAAGAAAAAATTATAACTGAAAATCCCAGGGGGAAAGGGGTCCGGAACCCCCTTCCCGACCTCCCCAGCCTGCCTTTTTTATTGAAACCTTTTGAATTCTGCCATTTTCTTTCTATATTTTTCTAATATGTTAAATCAGGTAATGTACCTAGCATTTACAACCTTGATTTTGCGAAGGAATATATTTTTCTACGATAGAGAAAATGTGTCTTTCTATGAGAAAAATGAAATTATGAAATCAAAACATTTGAATGATGTAATTTTTATGACAACCGCTGTACAAAGTAGGATTTCCCCCATAACCAGCCCCCCACCCCCCCCCCCCACCCCGGAATCTATACTCGGGAATCTTACACTAGAGCTAATTTTCCCCTCTTTCTCTCTCAGAGCAGGTTTTCCCCTGTTTTATCAATGCTTAAATCATATCGACATTGCTAAAGTTTATATGAAAGTCAACTGATTTTTTAATAGAAATATGAGTGTTTTCGCTCAAACATTTTTCAAAGGATCACTTCTAGGTAAATATATACGTTGACTTATATGGCCGATATTGGTTTCAGTCTTTAGAAAAAGCTTATCGATATCCGTTCCGGTCCCTGACTTTAGGCCACATGCGTGTAGTTTCTTGTTTCTCATGTATCGTTTTAGTTCTAGTCAACTTTCTTCATATGACCCTACATCGGTATTTACAGAAAATCCTTTATAAGAGGGTCTTTACTTGATGCCTGGGTAATGGCAACGGGACATAAAACCTTAACTGACCTTACCACATTCTTTTCTAATCTGTAAACATCCCCCCTGCATTTTTGACATAACATGTCGCCAATGCACCCAATTTTCCCGAGGAATGAACTGCATCTACTCTGCATAGCGCAGTATCTCTCCCAATGGCACAACAGTACTATTACCCAGAGATGTTCTTGAAAGACAAACACAGCAATTTTTGCTCGGCATGATTTTTTTTTTTTCGTGACACCTGCAGTAACACAAAGTAACACAAAGTGAAATGATTCGTGACCTCGAACAAAGTGTGCTTACACTGAGGTATAGTTCCGGTTGATTGCGCTTAGTTAAAGAGAATTTATGATCTGCATTTCCATAAATGTCTTTTATATCAACAGCAAACATATACATTTAAGGAAGAAAATAGAAGTAAAATGAAAATGCCTGTATGAAAAATTTGAAAAAATATACTGAAACGCAAAAGAAACGCAACAAGTAGTAATCTACAAATAATTGAATTTTTTATCTAATAATTTTCAAAAATGAATATACTAAGGTAAAACTTGATTTGAAAACATCAGAGATTTAATAAAAATGTTAAATGATTATCTTTTAACTTTACAAAGTAACACGTGACTGTTCAAACACCACCCACCCCGGCCATTCAATTACAGTGTGCAAGACTGTAATGCACAACAGTTGCAGTTTGATTTCTACGATGCAATAGGTTCATCAATCTCGAGATCTAAGCGAAAGAAATATTTTTTTTCCCATTTTTAAATGCCTGTTATTCAGATGATGAGGTCGAATTTTCTCTAGCCAAGCGCAGTGTAGTTACCCTTGGACTTCCGGTCCAAGGACTGTCATTCATGCTAATGATACGTAAGAGCTTGTTGAGGCGTGATGTGGGTCATGTTTGCATCTGCAACTCTCCATCACCATTATTTTGGGATTTTCCAGCTAGAGCAATAGAAATGGGTACTTACGTCATTTTCAGGAAGCCTTGGCATCGTTTACGGAAAAGTAAGGGGAATTTGTTTTTCGGAACATTGCTGCATTACTTATGATGAACGGATACAAATCCTTAAAACCCCATATTATTGCCAAATGTTTTGTTAAACATACAATTTTTGATTTCTGTTAAGCAGACTCAAACTTAACTTCCAGTAAGGACATGAAAATCATTCAACCGTTAAATTACCAATATTTACAAAGTTGAAGATGTCCTTACTTTTTAGAAACAAAATTATATCTTGTATGTAATATTTCCCCCTAAAATAGGATGTTGCGTTTCTTTTGCGTTTCAGTATAAAAGTGTGCCAACAGGTGGATTCGAACCAGGACGCTAAAATTGTCCATGGTGAGAGTCTACGGTCTGTCTCTCTGAGCTATACTGACTATGTGGACATACGTCTGACATAAATATAATCCAGTATGATAGAAATAGGTTTTCGCACATTTTGTAGGTTTTTTACGAATTTCGACCCTAGGGCAGGGATGCCCCTAAAAAAAACCTTGTTTTAAATCATTCTTCAGATCAAAATCTATCAAAATTTCATAATTTAAATTAGGGGTAGGCTTGCCCTGAAGGACTTCTATTCCAAAATTTACGCAAAAATTAGTGCTTTAACGGATAATATACTGTCTTGACCAACTTTAGGTTAATTTCAAAGTTGCAAATAAAAAAAGTTAGGTTCAAAATGCAAATTTGAAAAATTTAGACAAATATACGATAGAAAACAACTAAAGAACATTGATTTTTAAATGTGACTTTTTCAGGAAATTGTTCTCTCCTATAGGTAAAATCTTTTGTTATAACGAAAACATCCTTTAGTATGAAATTTTAGTAGTTAAAAAAATACAATACAAGAAGCACTGCTCTTGCAAGCCGTAGGATAGGTATGACCCCTCGACCACAGAGGTGTAATACTGGACGGCTATTGTAAACCCCAGAAACTTGGAGAGACATTAAATCAATATTATGCACATGTAGTTTTATGAAATATAACTGGAGAAAAAAATCCATTAAAAATATATATATATTTTAAATTAAATGTTGACACAACTAGACTTTTTTTATTACAATTTTTGTGAAGTTTCATTAAGATTGTCTACTGCGAGAGCACCTGTGAAAAAATTACAGAAAGTATATTTGTAACCATATGTCGCCCCCTCCTCCTCATATAAGTACTGGCATGATATTTTATAGCAGAAGGGGTAAATTGGCTCTTGAGGGAATCGCACTTTATAACTGTTACACAGAGTAGGGATTTCCCCGGAAAATTGAATGTGGTGTGGGATTTCTGCTGAAGGGGAAATTATACTCAAAAGCCAGTTTTCCGAAAAAAACTTTAGAGGGGAAAGACCGGTATAAAGTTCTTGTTTTAATTTTGGGCTTTTGTACTGATATGTGTTTTGAATCGGTAGATAGGTTCTAGAATTATAGGAGGTCGCTTAACTGAAAAAAAAAAATCAAATGGCCTTATACTGAATTAAACTTTTCTTGTTTTTTTTTCTTCAGCCCAACAACTAGTTAAGTTCTCTTTATAAATCGGGGGAGGGGGGGGGGGGTACTGACATGCAAAAAAGAAGGGATGGGGACGTTTCGCTATTAAAAACCCTACTAAATTGGAAAAAAAAACTAGCCAGAAAAAATAAAATTCAGAAATCCTTTTACTTTTTCGTGGAGGGGGGGGGGGGGGGGCTCTCATTCTCATTTTAGCAAAGAGAGAGAGAGAGAGAGAACAATAACGTGATATGTTTAGATATTGCTGCAGCAAAATAAAAAGGGGGTATCGGCCTTTGAATGAAAATTTTCAGAATATTTAAAACAAAAGATTGTTCTAAAATAATTGGAGAAGGACTTTTTACTCTACTTGGTACTCCGGACCTGCAGAAAATTGGAAAAAAAAAGAGCACGGCGATAAAATTTGACGCTCCCGACGTCATTCGTATATATGTAGTGTGTAAAATGACGTTTTTCGTACCTGTGACAAAATGGCTACATCTATATTAATGCTTGCGTTTATTTCATGTAGATGATAACCGTAAAAATTATGTTATTATCTAATACAGTATGAAATGTTCTTTCAAGATACAGTAATGATTGGTATATATATGACATTAATTTATGTATTTTTGATATGTAACTGAGACATATTAAGTAATAGTACAGCGACTCGTACGTACATAACAAAATGGCTACACTTAACAAAGCCTTACTAATATTAACGTATCAGCAGTTATATAACAATTATCAACATAACTAATTTTAGAAATATATGTACTTAAAGATTATTCATCAAAATTTATCTTTGTTTGGCATTTATGTCTCGTACACATCGCCATGCGGGCTAATGTCAACTTTAGGAAACGATTTTTTCCTGTTGGACATATTACTTACGCACTGTAGATACAGCCCAAACTCGTGAAATTGAGAAAATGATGCTAAAAATTCAACAATGTCACAAAGAATGCATACATATTATTGTATTTCCTAAATTTTATCTAATTTAGAGGATTGGAAGTGGATCTTTTTATATCTTGTAGTTGCGCAAACAATAATTTATGTAACGTTGGACACGGGGATTTCGCCGTAATAACCAATAATGAATAAAGCCATCTCATAGCTTAAGATATTTTCATATTATTAAAAAGAGAATTTTTAGAATAATTTATTACCTTGGATAAAATAATTAATTTCATTTTTAATTTCTAGTAACCTTATCATCTTGAAAACGCCAGTTTCTTTACGACATCTAAAGAGTAAGATTTTATAGTACCAACACCGTGCGCAACGTCTGAGGCCATACTAAAGGTGAGTAATTTTGGTAAGAATATATAACAGAATTTAATACTGTTATGCAACCTGAAAACGTGAAAAATTGGCAGACGGCAACACGATAATAAAAAAACCTGACAACGGAATGAAATTTTCCAGAATGGGGCACTACACTAATAACTGTATGTGTAGTTATTACTGTCTATAGACCGATAACGTGTAGCTGTTGTTGGTCTCTATGGACTAATAATTGCATGAAATAGCTGTTGTTGTCTATAGATTATATTTGCATGTGTCACTATTGTTACTGTCTAGAGACTTATAACTGCATGGATAGCTGTTGTTACTGTATACAGAGTAATAACTTGCATGTGGCGTTGTTAATAATGCCATACTTACACGGAGGAGATAAATAATCCGTAGAAGGTATTGTTCACCAACTGTACGTCCTCTAGACAATAGAAATTTTAACTTGATACTTCTCAAGAAACAATTTAAAAGCATATACAAGGGTTGATCCAAAAGTTCTTGGAATTTCTTAATACATGTATTTTATTTAATTATTGGTCATGTTGGTGGAAGTGATTGAAAATTACAGATGGAGATATATATATATATATATATATATATATATATATATATATATATATATATATATATATATATATAGTTTTTATATACTTGTTGGATTTTTTTTAAATAAAAAAAATATTTTAAATATTCACAATAGTAACACTTTGGCATTGCCATAGAAACGAATGTTTGAAAATGCGGGGGAGACATTTATTCGTTCATTATCATTAATACTCATTGTGAGGGAAAATACACGTTAAGTAGCATATGAAACGAAAATGATGTCATTATAACGATTGTTTGACTTCTTATAAACCTTTGTGTGAAAGTTTTATCGATTTTACTGGATATTTAGTTTTCCTATTGATGATTTGTTGTTCATCATGACTTCGTTAGACAACATCGAAATTCGGTCAAGTAATAGGTTTTGTGAAAATCTCGGGAACACTCCGACTTAAACGCATATACTACTGATAAAGGCAGGACAAAAGTGCAGTAGGCCACTGGCTTTCCAGTGGCCTGAGAAATTTAAGGAAAATAGAACTACCGTGGAGGATGATGAAAAGTATGGCTACCCATTGGAAGGTCGTTTTTTCCTCGTAGACAAAGTGAGAGCGTTAATGGACGCGGACCGCTGTGGTTGAAATTGCTACTGAAATAGGAAAATAATATGGAACGATAAAGCACAGTTTTGAAAAATGATCGCAATAAAAAGAAAGTGGGTGCGAGGTGGGTACCAAGGCTTTTCTCGAGAGCAGAAATGGAGAAAAGAATTAACATAGCGTTCTGTAGAATTTTTAGGTCGATTTGAACGTAAGGGTGAGATGCTCCTACAATGTGATGTGACATACCTAATGACATTATGTCGAAGTCTCCCCCGGATTTTACAATTGTTCATGTTAAGAAGGCTCCTGTGACCTTAATAGTAATTGGAACTATTTTATAAATATGTCTTTTATTTGCTTGAATCACATCACAATAAAATTTTAGAAAGAAATTCCACGAACTTTTGGATCAACCCTCGTATTTAGAAAGAAAATTCAATCTTCTTTTGTATCATTAAACAAAGAATGAAACAAATCATCACCATGTCCTTTCTTCACTTTAAAAATCCTTATAAGCTTTCTATTCCATTATCATAGAGTACTGGTATTTACACGAGTAATTTATATTTATTGCAAAACAAAGAATTTTGTCCCAGAATCCATCATGAAAAAGTATTTTTTTTAAAAATACCTCTAAATGAATTATAGATCTTCTTTCTCTGGAAACTTTAAACGTGTGTTATAATGCATGCAAACATCGAAATATTCTCTTGCAACATAAGGGATACTAGTAATTACCAGACAAATCACAATATTTGCTAACTTACGGATTAAATCAAAGTAGAATGGGAATAACCCAGGTAAGGAACAGTTCAGTCGGGCCTTCTGATACGTCGTCCATTTGTTGACGAGGAAGCTACTTCCTCCAAGGTCTTTCTACAAAGTAAAAAAATTATCACAAAAATTAAAGTAACTTTTGATTTTCATTATTTTTCTTGGTTGTTATGAGTGAATGTGTGCCTTACCTTACAAACCCTTGCAACTCTGGAGACCATTTTTTTCATGAAATTTGTGTACTCAAGAGGAATTTCCCGGAAGAAAAAGTAAACATCTTCACCCACATCAAAAGATGCCACAAACTGGGGTTCTGCAACAGTTATGTTTCTATATACCACCATTTTGGAACAAAATAATCTGCTTCTCAAAAAAATTACTTTCTTATAAATTTATTGATGTCATTTGTAAGTTTCAAGAAGGATAACTCTGCTAGACTTCTATCAATGCTCAGGATCTAGTATATTTTTTTTTACCATTTAGCCAGCGGATGGGGTCTGCATTCTCCAGTTTTTCACTCATTTTTACACCATTTTTTACAAGTTGTGGTCTGGATATGGTGGCCTTCCCATTGTCAAGGATGGTTGCCGAGTAGAGGGCTGGTACGTCACCAGGGTTACCGCTGGCTACAGACACAATGCAAATCAATATTGTTGTTGATGCAAGCTATACATCTTCTGGTAGTCTTCACAGATTCTTGTTAAAAGTTTGATATAAAGCTAGAAATTTAAACACTTTTCATACGGAATTTTTTTATGAAATCAAATATTCCCAAATTCTTACAATTTTTTTTCTCTAGACAAGTAAAAAACTCATAACCAAGAAACCCGTGTTATACATCAGTGTTAAATCGTATATTTTGCAGGGTGAAGAGTGTTTCTGGGGCCATATACATATGTAGTCATATTTGTTTATTCTGGATGATGGCTATATACACTGCTTATATAAGGGGATGTTGTATAATTTTACCAGAACTAGGTCATCCATTGCCTGATCTAGTTTCTGTAGATTATCAAAAATCAATAGACGAAACAGATTAAGACCATATCTCATTACAGCTTTTTAAAAAAACAATTATAATATAATGTAATAAATGGATAATATTTCAATCTAAAACCTCACGGATTCAAAATGCTTGCTGAATCTCTTATAATGCATTTTATGAATGCATTTGAATTTTTCATTTTTCATATTTTCTTTGCAAAATTTTCAAAGTGAGAAGCAATGTCAGACTTATTTTGTCTACATGGGAAAGGCACCTATTTTGGATCTGTTTCAACCTAAATCAGTCATGATGATGTGGTGTTTAAGAGAATCATTAGACACAAAACCTACCTTTGTTAATTATATTATTTTTCAGACAGCATTTGTACATGAAAATCTGCTTTCATGAAAATAAAATTAGTTTGATAACTTTAAAAGTAAAGGCAACAGTAATTCCCAATGCTCATTTCTCCTTTAAATGAGATCAAATTCTTCATACTCACTGACATAAACGGCAGTTGTGTTGTCCTTGGGGTCCCTTGGACATGCAGTGGCTTTTTGAGATGACAATATGCTTAATTCGTTATCATTTATCTGAAATACATATGAGAATTCAGTCACTGTAATACTGTATAAATAATATAACACAAAGACAATTATTTTCATGCATATTTATTTATATCTGAGCTATGCAAATGCCTTTATATCTATATATTTTGGTATTAAACCTGTGTACAGGGAAAAGTGTGAATTTACTTTGAAAGAAACTGTTTTCACTCACCGTAGCTTTATACTCGGAAGGCGTATTGGCATCAGTTCCACAAAAATACAGGGTGGAGTTATCAACACGTACAATATACTTAATGTAATTCTGACAGTACTCCTACATAGGCAATTTCGCCACATATGATCCACATATGCATTGCTTTTCATATGAAGATCATATGAGGATCATATGAGAATCATATGTATATTCAATCATATGAGTATCATATGTGGCAAATCATATGTGGATCATATGAATACGCTTATGTAAATCATATGAAGCAATATACATATGATACACATATGAAAGTTCCTGCATATGAGAATCATATGCATACTTTGAGAATTATCATATGAGAATCATATGAAACAGATCTGTGTGCGTTTATTTATTTGTCCTTGTTATAAGCAGGTAAAATTCACTTTTATTTTAATTCAATGAGATAAAAAAATACGTTTATTCACTGTTAATCAGTTAACACTTGAGTAATTTCATATTAAGCTTAATATGAATAAGTTGGTGTTATATTTTAACAAGTAGACTGCATGGTTAAAAAATTATAATTTCAATAACATATATCAAGATGTGTTAATTTAAATGTATATTTATTCAAAAGAATCAAGATGTTCATTTCCTTAAGAAGCTTGGATAAAAAGGGAATAAGTACTCTGTTACCCCCCCCCCCCCCCAAAAAAAATCCTTTCATAAAATTCAAAATTTGTTTTCTTGAAAAACAAAATTCATCAAGAATAAATTGATTTGTATTTTATCCAAAAACCGTTATGGTTGGTTTTATTTTATGAGTAAAATTAAAATCATTCCACATTTTATTTACGGACCGGTTTCGGTTTTTATCAGATGAAAGTGTACGTCATGTTTGACGTCACTTCTGCAGCAGAAGAGTTGGGTGTTGAAAAAAGTAAGTGATTTCGGATACGTTTTAAAAGACTTTTTAAAGGCCAGTTCATTGTGTTTAGATCATTTCATTACGGTAACAGATCCGTATAAACTTTCTAGTACTCTCATCACTTGTATATAATTGTTAAATTAATGCAGTTCGTAAAAAGCCGATAAACCTAGTGATCAATAAATTACTTATTGAATGAGTACGGTAATTTTGTTTGTTAACGACGAATGTTTAGGCCATTTAGCATCACTTATTTTTCAGATTTGTTTCCCTTTTGTTAATAGCGACGCTTGAATATTTATATTCGATATGAAAGTGAAAGTAGAAACCTTGTAAAGCAGTTAACGTAAAATGTTTGTTGAGATCGTTATTCATTCGGTTCTTTCATCAAATGAATGAGAAACGTGTTTTAAATAATGTATTTAGGAACTGAGTTCAGTTTCACAGTGCTGTTTTTGTATTTTTTATTTTTTTGTTCAAAGAACCCCAAAGCTGATTAGACTGACGATTGAACACAAAGCTGGTTTGGCAGACGATGCATGATCACAATGCAGGTAAAAATAAATAAATAAATACATTAATCATCACAGTATATATAAGTAATGACTTAAACATATATCAAAAACTAAATAAATCCAACTCTTTTCCTATAGGTCAAATCCAGCACACTAATAAAATATATATACATGTATAAGTATGAAAACATATGAAAATATGTAAGTCATATATTATAGAACTTGCTGGCTATAAAAACTATGAAGAACTATAAAACTATACATTATCTTCTGGGGGATAATGACTTTTAGCTTAATCAGACATTCAAGGTACTATTACATGTGCATTGAAAGTACATTGTATACATTTTCATGTACTTTGGTTAATGATTTGGGGGTCTGCATCAAACAGAAATGGATTATATATATCTATTATTTTTTTTTATATAGATTAAAAATTTACAGAGAGAATGTCAATTGGCTTAAAAAAAGATTTAACATCAACCCCTGGATTTCTTTTAAGGATACAGAAGTACAGGTATGATGAATATAAATGCTAGCTAACTACATGTATTTTGCAAGAATTGTGCATTTAAGTAGATGCACTGAGCAATTAAGTAGATGCACTGAGCATGTATGTCATGTTATATGAAACTAATAAAGTTTATAGTCAATATGTATAATAGTGAACCATTTTTTCTTGAAGAATCTTAGTATGTGTTTGATGTATAGAAAAATAAGTGAAAAATGCATTGCTTTATTCATTCAGGAGATGCTCAGCAATCTGGCAAAGAAGGCTGGCTGGACATGAAATGATATGGGAGTTATGTCTAGCTTTGGATCCACTGTCTGTTCAATTCACATATTACAGAAATCAGATCAGAGCAAAGGTGTGCACACATTTTATTTATATATGTTACATATCATCCTAAGAAGTATCAAAGTCTATTGCTAAATTGAATTACCTTGTCAAAACAAAATTTTGCACTGCATTCCATTTAAGCTATACATTGTGAATTGAATTGTTTAGAAAAAAATGTTTTAGCTGATGGGTAACAAAGAAGTTGATGTAGAGGGTCCCTCCATTAAGTCTCTACATAATTATCGATGAAAATGTTTCCTTCCTCCTACAATTATGCTAACAAATCCAGAGAGGGAATACTTCACACTGATGCTAGTATGATGCTAGTATGAAAACAGTAAGAGTCAACATTTTAAATTGTAAAAATATTGATGTTAAACTTTAATGTTAAAATTTTGAGATATATATTTGTTTATTGGAAGGACATCTTTGCTAGTAAATATGATCAATGATAGAAAATTAGTTCATGTTTGTTGGATGTCACAAACAATTTTTCCAATCATATTCATCTTTAGAATCACTTGAGCCTTCAGCTCAGATGAGCTAAAAACAAGCACTTTCATTTTAAATGAAAGTACTTGTTTTTAGCTCATCTGAGCCGAAGGCTCACATGAAGTTTTCTGATCAAAATTGTCCGTTGTCCATCATCATCGTTGTTGGCATAAACTTTTCACATTTATGTCTTCTTCTCCAGAACCACTGGACTAATTTCAACTGAACTTGGCAAAGAGGACCAATAGTAATGTACCAGTAGGGGATCAAAGTTCAATCTATAGATTATATAGGGTAAAGTCTTTAAAAATCTGCTTTTCAAGAACTACCACACTACAATTTGTGATATTATTTTGCAAACATCCCTATGCAGTGTTGTTTCAAGTTTGTTGAAACAATGACCACTAAACCACCAGTGGGGCCCCTGAAGGGTTGCAAAGTTTTACATAGTAATTTATACTTGTGTATAGGAAAAAAATAAGTTTTTTTAACAAATTCTAAAAAAAAACATTGCTACAATAGTGGGGCCTAAGGAGGGAATCTTGAGTAAATTTGATCAGTATGGAACAAATATCAAAAAAATACTTTTGCAATTTATTCCAGCACTTTTTTTGTATTGACACACATTTCACAAAAGCCACTTGTGTCAGAGTTAAGTGAGTGTGCCATTGTTTGCTCAGGTGAACAATGTGGTCCATGGACCTCTTGTTATTATTATTAATGCTAATTATTTTAAAAATAATTTTTAGAGATTATTCTGTGCCACAAACAAATTGTTCAGAAAGGGGACATTGGTGGATTTGCATTTTGGGTACAGTTCAAAGAATTTTCAAAATGATGATGGAAGATCAGAGGGAGGACAAATGGGAAAAGTTGACAGAGAAAGAAAAGAATTAGGAAATATCTGGAATAAATATGAATGAGAAGGATGTACTTAATTTTGTCAGACTTTGGCATGCAAGGCTTTCTACATTTATATGTATACTGGAATATCATTTTGATTGTAAAATCTCATTCTAATGTATTCACATTTTATATTTCATGCTTTATGCATAAATACATAAACATTTTTATGAAAAACTATATATATGTATATATGTATCTTTGTTCGATCGAGACATCATCCTTTGTGATTTCATACTCATTTATGTGTTAAATATGCTGTAGGTACATGTAATCTGAATTACTTATGATTTGTCATAAATTTACAATAGAGATTACATATATTGACAAATGTTGTTGCAGATATTTCAATTTTGCTAAGGACACTTCCATGTCATATAGTATTTTTATACAAGTTCATGATCTAATTATGTTATTCATTGGTACATGTATACATGTTCGTCTCCTTGATCATTTTGCTGAAATCCTTTCAAATAATTTGTACTCGTTTTAGAATATGTAAAATACATGTATCGACAAATGCTACTGACTTGTTTGTATACTTTCTTGTTTAAAGTGTGCACTGTGTGATATTAGTTATTTCTGTTGATGAAGATACTTTTGGAAAATTGTGCAAGCATTATCAAATATTTACAGGTATTTAACAGATCATTGGAATGTACTGAAATTTCATCTAAAGCAGAAATACCTGATTTTCAATGTGTACAAGTGTGTATTTCCTTTTGATAAATATGAAAAAAACCCACATAAATGTTTCATATGATATACATATGATGCCCATTTCATATGATTCTCATATGTAAATGACTTGAAACACACTAAAACTTTTCATGTGCAAATCATATGAAATTCTTTTCATATGATTCACATATGTGAATCATATGTGACTCATATGATTTGCTTCATATGATTCACATATGATGCCCTTTTTTTATGATTCTCATATGAAACCAATCATATGATTCACATATGATACACATATGTGGATCATATGTGGCAAAGTTGCCTGTGTACAGAAACGAAAAAAGAAAAAAATATGCATCCCTTATTCTTATATATGATAGATAATTAAGAAAATAGATAATTAAGAAATAAGATGTCATTTTTAGAGTTTCATTGGGATATGACATGAAGTTGGTCACGGGGATCAAATCTACGATAACGCCCGAAGGCGTATCAACTCCATGTCATATCCCAATGAAACTCTAAAAGTGATATTTTATTTCTTATATTTATATTTTATATTTTATTGCTGTTACAAAGAAAAATATGCACTATTTAGACTTTGATATGGAACTTCAACATAACATACATGTACGACATTATGTGACGTCACAGTCTAGCCCTTCCAAAAGTCTAGTGCGGTTTGTTTTCCATACGCAAGAAAGTCTGATCACGTGACCAACTTCATGTCATTGAAAATTGAATGTCAATTTAATTACTATTAATATATAAGGATAGACATTGGCAAATGTAAATAATTGTGATTTGAAGTGAAAACCTTAAAGGCAGAGATTTTTTACCGGGTGGTAAATTCCAGGTGGGGGAGGGGCTTATTTTGTACAGGTGTGAATGCCTTGAGGGCTAGCAGTCTATCTGTGGCCATTTGTCTCCTTATCCCTATACACAGAAAGTAGTTTAATACACAGTAGAGTACCCAAGAAGTCAAACTTAACCAGTGGTTGGATATTGAGATGATTTTAAATTAAAAATGAAAAATTGTAAACATGGTAAATAAAGTTTAATTTCAGTGACTTTTCGTAATCTGTAATTGTATGTGTGTCAAAGCATCCCCATCCATTAAAAATATTATTATTCAAACTATTTGTTGAACTTTGAAGAAAGTTATATCAAACTTTGATATATATTTTCACAGAATATATTAATTATTTCAAATACTAAAGGTGTATATATATATATATATATATATATATATATATATATATATATATATATATATATATATATATATATATATATATATATATTAGCAAATTCCATAGTAATACAGCTTCTCTATTGTTTATACCACGTGTGGTAAATATCAAAGGATCAAAAGTTAATTTGAAGGTCACCACGAGTGCCAAACAAGGTGTGTAGGGTATACACAAGGACTAGTAAGTAAAAGGTCAATCAAGTTCAAGCACCCAATGATGCACCTTAATGCTTTTGATTGACAGGGGTACACAAACCAGGTATTTTTGAAGGCGGTGCTTAAAATCTCTGCCTTTAAGTAAAAAAAAGAACAAGCCTTTTATTTACATATGCATGTAAGCATGCTACATAAATGTAAGCCTGTACAATACATGTACTTACAACTGATTTCCCATTAAAAGAACACAGCTTTCTATTTTCATCAGAAGCCACAACCTTTATAGTTTTCTATCACCAAAAAAAAAATCAGAAATACATGGTATAAATTAAAGTACATGTCTTTTACTACCTTTCATTACTTTATTTGCATTTGTACAGTGTATATTAATATTAGGTATCGAACATTAGAAACCCTGGATAGGTCCATGTCAATCCAACCAATACAAGCCACCTGGGTTTTTACTTACAGTCTCCGGTTGGTATATGGTTTAAGATGGTTGGATAAAGTTGTTCTATAATCTATTTATATCTACCATCATTGATAATTTCTACAAGTTTTTACTTTAAACTATTTATTGTACTCACCAGTCCACTTTTATCACTGATATCTTCTAACTTTAATTGTACTAAATAATTCCTGAAATGAATTAAGAAGAAATTGTAATCAAAACTGGAAAAACAAGAGGTCCAGGGGCCACAACACTGACCTTAGTAACTTTAGCCCTGTTGTTCTTCAGATTTCCGAAAAAATTGTTATATTCCCATGAAAAATTGTGACCCCATATTATAGCCCCACTCTTATGCATGGTCTCTGAGATCACAATATGGGGATGAATCAATATCATTATGACTAACTTGGACTTGCACTTGTGGAGAAGAAATTTCTTTTCCTGTATGCATGCATTATTTAAAATGATCCCTATTTTACCTAACTCTAACTCACTGTACATAATTTGAAAAAAAAAATGAATCCACACAACTTGAGATTTTTTGCATATGTGTGTGCACCTGTGGTTCTTAAGATGAATTTTCGAAATTTATTTCCTATAAGATTCCATGTAAAACTTTGATCCCCTATTGTGGCCCCATGCTACCCCTGAGGGCCATGTATTGAACAATTTAGAATGTACAACACCTCACAAAGCTTTCATCTCTTCTTGCCATTGATTCTTGAGAAGAACATTTTAAAAGAATTTTTCCTATATATTCTTATGTAAAACTTTGATCCCCAATTATAGCCTCCCTCCTCCAAACCCCGCCCCCAGGGACCATAGTTTGAACAACATAGAGTCTACACTACCTCTGGAGTCTTCCACATAAGTTTCATCTCCTCTGGTCCAGTGGTTCTTGAGAAGATTTTTAGAGAATTTTCCCTATATATTTCTTTGTAAAAATTCGATCCCCTTTTGTTGCCCTGCCCTAAACCTGGGGGCCATGATTTAAACAATTTAGAATCTACACTTCCTGAAGATGCCCTTACTTAAGTTTCATCTCTTCTGTCCCAGTGGTTCTGGAGAAGATTTTTTAATGACCCCACCCTATTTTTGCCTTTTCTTAATTATCTCCCCTTGGAATATGACTTGGCCCTTTTTTTTTGAAGAATTTATAATACCCTTTACCCAAAGATGTTTTGTGCGTATTTTGCTTACAATTGGCTTAGTGGTTCTTGAGAAGAAGTCGAAAATGTGAAAAGTTTACAGATGGATGGACGCCAGACAACGTGTGATCAGAAAAGCTCATTTGAGGTTTCAGCTCAGATGAGCTAATAAAACATCTCGTCATGGACGGGTGTATAAAAAACTACTAGTATTTGAGTCTGGGAATCATTTATTTATTATATAATAGTGAAAATGCTTATTCCTAACTGTACACAGTAGTCTGACAATGTTAAAGTCGTCCGCGTGGCGCAGTGGTTAGAGCGTTCGCTTTAGTGTCGCGGAGTAAGGAGTTGATCCTTACGTCGCGGGTTTGAATCCCAATGTGGGACGTGGAGACCGGTCCTTCGGATGAGACCGTATAAACCGAGGTCCCGTGTCTCAAAAGGTGCTGGCACGAAAAAGATCCCTCACTGCTCAACGGCCCTAAGTACAGAGTATAGGTCAAAATTTGCACCTCTCCACCGGCAAGTGGTGGCGTCTCCATATGAGTGAAAAATTCTCGAGAGGGATATAAAACAATAAACAAACAAACAAATGGGGCTGGGCATCGGCTGGAAATTTCGTATTGCGATGTATTACGATATTCTTAACTCTATTGCGGTATGTATTGCAATATTTTCAATGACAGTAAAAATGTTTAAAAGTTAAAATCATTTTATTAACCTCTTTAAGCAACGTGTGTAAAACAAGTATAAATAAATTGTTGCAAAATTTTTGTTGCTGATTTCACTACAGTTTTGGAATGAAATGCAACCATAAAACAGCAACTTTGCAGTTTGGTACTGTTTGGCACGATTGAAAACGTTCCTGGCATATTAAATTTCATATTTTACTTAAGAAATCTAAAGCCCAAGCAGTTTGCGGGTATATCGGTAAAACGTATAGCAATACGATATTTATACCTGAATATCGATATTATTGCGCAGCCCTCCAAACAAACAAACAAACAAACAAACAAAACAATATTAAAAGGATATTGAAACTAGTATCATTCTTCAAGAATCATCATCACTAAGTTTTTTGGATAAGATCTTTGTGTACATATACATAGATTTAATTATGTGGTAAACTCAAATGTCCAGTACGCTTTTATAAAAATGTCCAAGTTTTCTGCAAAAATGTCCTTTCACATTATACACAAATTTACATGTAATTTTAGAGTGGTTCGGTGGGGTATGAATAAACAAAAGCTTTTTGTATAAATTTATAGATTTTGATGAAGACATAATCTGGCATTAGAGCATATGTTGCCTACACTGTAGTTTGATCACATGATCCTGACTGGATTTCTATAAGACAATGCAATGTTAGTTACATGTCACAGTGGTTGTAAAGGCTAATAGATTCAGGGAAACAATGACAAGTTAGATATTAGCCGAAGCTGGATCATCCTTACTGGCTCCGTCATATGATAATCTTTATAGATGATGCCAAGATTATTAACTAAATGTAGAGAGAAAAAAGGATGTGAAAGAATCGTCAGTGGGTGGAAAAATCCAAACAAGATATTATCAAAAATAAGTCCTGGCCATGAACCAACAAAAAGTACCCCAATGGAAATGTCTATGTAAATGAAAGTAAGTAAACATACCAATAGTGAGCAGTTGAGTTGTCAATATTCTGCTAAATATAGTTTTACTTGGGCAAAGCAAAAAAAGTGACATTTTCTTACATATGTAATTTATCATTAAAGCCCATCTCACCTAGCACCAATAAACGAGTTGAATTAATTATGAAACCCAATAGACTTGTTTAAGTACACCTAAAAATTGACCCATTGGAAATGTTTATGTGCATATAACTATTAATATAAAATAAATACATAGAGATTTTTTATGTATTCACGAGTGCAAATATTAAAAAATCTCCTCGCATGAGTGAAATAAATTCCACTTCAAAATATTGAATTCTCGGTTTATTACATTTTCTTTGATTTGCCTCTGCCTTTTCGTTATACATGCGGTGCTGTAGATCGTGACATCATAACTGAGCAGTTGTAGAACGTCACAGCTAAGTGATTGTGAGATTGAAAGTTGTAAACATGGTTTTTAACAACAATCTGGAGAAACTTTGACCCAGTGGTGTTGTCTATGTACATGTTGATTTAATCTTACCTAGCACCAACAAATAGTGACCCAGTGGAGTTGTCTATGTACAAATAACTGTGGTCCCTGATTCTGTCATTTTGGAATGTCTTGATGACTAAATCTACAATAAAGAGTAATCAACTTATATTATTTTCAAGAAAGGTTCATTTCAGTTATAAAATACATTGATACATTATTAATATTTATATATATAATTAGAAATTTAATATTATGTGGCTGTTTAAAGATCACAGTGAATTCAATAACTTTGTATTTCATACATTAGCCAAAACTCAAGTGGCCTAATATATTTGTCAGAGTTGCAAGCAATTACCATGCTATAATTAAGACTTGAAGGGCAATAGTTTTCTCTGTGTCTCCCTGATCATTTAATACTGTAGAATTCCTTCTGATGGTTAACAAGACAAAAACTGGAAAAATGTTATTTAATTACAAACTCGTATTTTCAAATAGAACAAAGTAAACCTTACGAGACTGTAGCTCTGCTGGCGTGTATACTTATACAAAAAAAGAAGGGCGTATCTTAGCATAGCCTACATGTGTAAATGTCTAATCAGGCCAAAACTGTAGGAGGAGTAATGTTTTGAAAGAATTTTAAAGAAATTTCTATTCTTAGTAACCATGGCAACTTCCTTGAAATCAAATACTGATACAAAGAATTATGTATCTTGGCAAAATAACTTGTGCAGCAAGTCTTAATGAAATTCGATCAAAACTCTAGAAAAAACGTTTTGTAAGATTTTCAAAGAAATTTCTATTTTCAGTTACCATGGCAACACCATCAGTCAAAATCAAACTCAGATAAAAAAGAATTCTATATCTTGGTATAGTTTACTTGTGTACCAAGTCTTACTGAAATTGGACCAAAACTGTAGAAGTAGTAGCATTTTGAAAGAATTTCTAAGTTTCTATTTTAGTAACCATGGCTGCACGTTTGTCGAAATCAAAACCAATATATAGAATTATGTACCTTAGTATAGTCTACTTTTGTGATTGGATTAAAACTGTAAGGAAAGTAGCATTTTGAAAGAACTTTAAAGACATTTCAATTTTTTTTAACCATAACAACACCGTTTATTCGAAATCAAAAACCGATAAACAGAATTATGTATCTTGGTATAATCTTCTTGTGTACCAAGTCTTAGTGAAATTGGACCAAAACTATAAGAAAAGTAGTATTGTGAAAGAATATTAAAGAAATTTCAATTTTTAGTAACCATAGCAACACCGTTTGTCGAAATCAAAAACTGATAAAGATTATTATATATCTTGGTATAGTCGACTTATTTAACAAGTCTTACTGAAATTGAACCAAAACTGTAGAAAAAGTTGCAATTTGAAAGAAAGAAATTTCTATTTTTAGTAACCGTGGCAACACCGTTTGTCGAAATCAAAAAAACCGATATATAGAATTAAGTATCTTGATATAGTGTACTTGTCTACGTAATCTTATTGAAATTGGACCTAAACTGTAGGAGGAGTAGCGTTTTGAAAAATTGTTTACAGACGGACAGACAGACAGCTAGATAAACGGACGACGGACACCTTACCGATGCATTAGTTCTTCTGATCTCTGACCAGTAGAGCTAAAAATGGGGTTGGATCTCATTAAGAAGTTAAGCACAAGTTCTTATCATGTTTATTATGACCATCCACAAGTCTACAGCATCGTAATCTAATCCAGCATCCAACAGTAACAATTATTTCATTCTAAAGAACTAAGATAATTCAGTGAATTAATGTTATCTCTGAAAACACTGATCTAGTTTGCCTCTAGCTCCTGGATATTATATATATATATATATATATATATATATATATATATATATATATATATATATGTATATATATATATATATATATATATATATATTGTATATATATTATATATATATTATAGTGAGCGCAGCGAGCTCAATAGACTAACGTGTAAGAACAGAGGAAATTCGGAATGACATATACGTCACGCAAATGTCAGTGTGAATTCTTCCCAGAATTCCCTCACTACCAGGATTCCATGCGATAATGGCGATAAAAATAATATAAAATATAAAAGGTCTGCAGTTTCCCGAGAGCTTAAAATTAACAAAAAAAAATAATGGCATTTACTCTACAATGTATTTCATTAAAGTTTGCACTAGGCCTGTAGTCTCGTTCAACCAGACGCTCGGCTGTCTCCGTGAATTCCGACGTCATATGACGTCACAGTCTAGACTGTGTCTCGTGCGGTTTGGAAGTTTGAAGAGGCGGATCAAAGTTTACAAGTGTAATTGGATGGTACAACTGCGCTCGCCCCAACGGTCACACTGTAAACATATTATATATATATGACTGCCGTCTTGAGAAAAGGGCCCTTATCTTTTGACGTCACAATGTGCAGAAAACGACATCAAAGTCGCGGCATTGTAAACAGGGAAGTAATTTTTGTCGACTGCGTTTTGTGAACAAGAAATAAAATTGGATTTCCATTTGTTGCAAGAAAAACATTAAATCATATGAAATTTGATGCGGAAATTTTTAATAAATAATATAATTACACAGTAGTACATTAATCATTCTGTTTAAGTATTTAACTTGATATCACATAATTAAGCTAAACGCAACTTTGAACTCATATTGTTAATTACGACGATTTATAGCGCTGTGTATATATGATTTATGACTAAAGATACTGTATATTTGTTTTCTGAGCAATTTGCAAATGTTCAAATTTGACTATTATTCAGTAGACTAAGTCTTAATATTAAATGGTATTCTACATACTCGTATATTTTTTTTTCAGAGAGAAAGAGAGATCAATGCACATGTACACTTCTTTATTCTTAAAAATACCTTCATGTAAAATGTATTTACCCATTTTAATCCACAGTTAATCATATCGATATGCGCAGTTAGACTAGCTCAGGGTGAAGCGTCGATATAAAATGTATCTTTGAGGAGGGGGGGGGGCAGAGATCATTGAAAAGCAAAAAAAAATCTCCAAATAAAAAAGCAATCGGTAAAAGTTCAATCTGAAAAAAAAAAGAACCAATCTTCTTCTTTGGGGGAGGGGGGGGGGGTATAGATATTGGTATCATGGGAGATTCGAACCTTCTACTACAGCAACGAATGAGAGGAGGGGGGGGGGGCAAACGGCCCAGATATAGATAATTCTTTGCTAAATTAACAGCAAGAGAATATGCTGAAGGGAAAAATGGAAGAGGGGGATACCACGGAAATTTTGCAAACAATAAATTATGATTTTAAAAAAAACATTTTGAAACATTTGATCAAATAAATACATAAAAAGTAGTTTCTGATATTAGCATTATGATCAATATTGAAGAAAATGACAATTACATCGACGGTGATTTTAGGATTAAAATGATCATGAAACAGAAGAAACAACAGATTAAACAATAGATTAGGCTGTAAAGAAATCAAAAACATCAACAACACCTGTCGTAAGACAACAAAGACAATCAAGAAATCTAAAATTTTGATAAAGATGAAAAAAAAAATTAACACTGGTGATGTTTCGAGCGGAAAAAACGGAGTTCAGGCAAAACTTTGATAGCCATAAAATATATTAGAAAAAGCATTTTTTTTTTTTTGGCTGACTGTTGAATTCATGTACATCTGTATGCAATAAATTAGTCATGTTTCGTGTTGAAATCTTGGACGTCGACTCTCAGCTCTGATACCAGTATCTCGATACCCCGGATATCTCGACATTTTATGAATGTTCCGTTGATGTCGGGATACTGAAGGAAAATGATTAAAAAAGCACACACATCTTTCGGATTCGAAAGAAAAAAAAATGTTTCTATTTGAGTCGTGTAGTAACAGGCAAAAATAAGAGTCATGTTCTTTAATTTCGAGATTCTGGCAAATTGTTATTTTTTGAAACAATAATTAGGAAAAAATGGTTTGTCTATTTTATCTTAGCTTTCAAGACAAAAGCAGATACTAAGTCGCCTATGAAAGTCAAGTTAGAGTGGTAGAGTCACAAACATTCAATGGGATATTGCTTTTAACCGAATCGCCTCATATACCAAAAAAGTATAAACATGTGTGTTGGACGTAGTATTTAATTATTGTTTAAGAATATAATATTACATGTAAATATTACATTTCATCGCATCGAAATATGAAAAGCTTAGGTGTCAGGTTAGCTGATGCTACAGAGGAAGATGAACAGATTACCTTGATTATGGTAAAATACACATATTCAAGCAGGTACAAATTCAAAAGTTGGGGAGGAGGGCAACTTCCTCCAAAAAACCGCCAAGCAAAAAAGGAAAAAAACAACAACAAAAAACCACCCTATACTGACTAAAGAGTGGGGGGGGGGGGCAACTCCTCAAAATAATCTAACAAGCAGAAAAAAGGGGAAAACTTATCAGTCTGTACAAATCATTGAATTTGCCAGTGATCCTTCTTACAAGAACAAGAATTGGGGGGGGGGGAGGGGACGGGGGAACCAGCACCTATAAAAGGAAAATTTGCTATAGCAAAATACTATACTCAGAGAAAGTGGGGACAGGCCCCCTCTCCCGCCCCCCCCCCCCCCCCCGGCGTTCTAAGGGCCTGCTAAGTCTCGCAAAATATTCGGTTTCAATTTCCAATAGATTTCATACAAATGGTAATGCAACTGTATTTCACAGAAAAGTCCGTTAAGTATATATATATATATATATATATATATATATATATATATATATATATATATATATATATATATATATATATATATATATAAAAGAGCCAAGAGCAGTACAACCATCTCTTTGATCAAACTATACAATATATACATAAACCATAATGTTTTGATTTTTTTTAGATTAGCGGCCCTTTTAACAACTGATGAACAATAATTGTTGTGTTCAAGTGATACAGCAGTAGCGTCGAGGGCACAGGTGCCTCAAAATTTAAAAAAAAAAAAAAAAGTAGAGAAACATTTATTACCGCTTTTCATTAAGTGTGATTTACTTAAAAAAGTAAGAAGTTGACAAAAAAATTAAATTTTCATGTACGGAATAAACGTTCATAAAACAATCCTTTGACATCATTATGTGCCTCTTTGTTATGTTTCTACTCCATACCTAAGACAGGCAAAGA